TTTTTTTCTCTACTATTTATACAAGTATTACTTGTATAGCAAGTAGGTTTTCTTAAGGATAAATAAGTTAAGCTTAACTTATCTTTTTACACGGTTTTTTATGTAAATCATTAGAAGAAAATCTTTTCCGAAAAATAAGATAGAAAGATTGAGTTAAAAAACATAATATCTTTTTAACAAACTGATTTTAAGAAATAAACTTTTAAATAAAATCTTTTTCGAATTCTATCTTTTATCTTTTCCGATTTTAATTTATTTGCCAAGCTAACTTGTCACGCTTCTAATAGACTTCATGCATATCCTACTTAACATATTTAACAATGAATCTAGAAGATAAAATCTTTAACTAAATCATTGCTGCGCCGCACTCCTGTATTGGTAGGTTTACTTGGGCTCCACGCTTACTAAGTTCCTCCAAAGATCTTAGCTAGCCATCTTCAAGTTCCTGTAAAGGAACGTTCCTGTTAGGGAACTCAGTTCCTGTGAGGGAACACTTCTTCTGTTTCGAATAACCTTCTTGAATAAAGAATTTCTTCAAGTCTTCTTAGTTTTAGTTACTTCTTTCATCTCCAAGATCAATTTCACCTAAACTAAACAAACACTTGAAAACCTTTATTAAATGAGTTTGCTGTAGTTTAAGTTCCTCATCATCAAAACCTTTAAACATCAACAATTTCCCCCTTTTTGATGATGACAAACTTAAGCAAACTCTAGAGAAAGTTAAAACAAAATAGAAGGACGTATTTTTGTATTTTTGATTTATAAACAAAAAGTAAGCACACAACTGAATTAAAAACAGAAAACAAAAATAACTAAGACAGAAAGTAAACTAATAATCTATCAGCATCATATCAGAAGAAAGTTCTGATACTTTATCAACTTGAACCCAGAACAACTTCAGCCTCCATGTTTGCTTCTTCTTTTCCCCTTTTGGCATTATCAAAAAGTCCTGCTTTTTCAAGTGTATTAAGCATCTATCCACAGCCCCACAAGCAATTCATCAAGTGTGGGAAACTAAAGGCAGCGATGCTAAATAACCTCAAGTAAGTTCTACCCTTCAGCATAAGTGTTCAAAATACACATAAACACACAAGTATAAGCAGAGTTCCAACATTTCATTAAATACCAAAAAGATTTATCATGCAGTTGAACAATTTAGAAAATTTACAAACAAAATTATTTGTTCAAATACTAAAAACAGAAATTAAAATTGTTCATGACTAAAATAGAGAAAATAGGCTAGGCTGAATATGAAATAGGGCAGGCTAGGTTTCAAGGAACTCCAGAATTTTCTTGAAGTCCTCCTTTGTCTGTTGTGCAGAGGTCTCCAAATTTTCTTCAACACCCTTGAGTTTCACCAGGAACTCCTCCTTCTGTTCCTGTAGAGCCTTGTTCAGTTCTTGCTCTTGAAACTCCTTTTGCTCTTGAAGTTCCTTGTTTTGTTTTAGCACCATCATCCTGAGTTCCTTTAACTCCTTCCCCTGCTCCTGTACCAACTTTTCCAGGGTTAGCACCTGAAGCTTTCCAGCAAATCCTTCATTTGACTTTCAATCCGTTCCATTCTATCCACTAATTCAGCAACTTGCCCATTGAGGATATCTTCCTCAGCATCCAACTCTAGTGGCTGTTCCATACTGGTTTGAGGAACAGCACTGGAAGAAATCCTCCTGCTCTTTCTCATAGGCTGCTCAGATACAACCTTTTCCTTCCTCTTCCCTGTCACTTTCTCTTTCTTTTTCTCTCCCTTCTCTATTTTCTGAATTTTTCCTTGCACCACTTCTAAACTTAACCCAACCAGGGTTTCCTCATTAATCACATTTTCTGGCTTTTCATCCAAAGCCCCATATTTACCATTTAGAACTACTCCAGCATTCTCAAATACAGTGGACAAAATGGCTCCATACCCCACTTTTGTCCTACTGGGAACACAGTGTGCTAAGTACTGGTACATTAAAGAAGGAAAATTGACCTTAATCTTCTTTGAAATACAAAAAATTACTGCCATATCCATCAAGCATGCTTCCCCCTTTTTAGCAGTCCTAGGCAGAATAGTCTTCTTTACCAAATTAAACAACAACTTGTTTAAGGGACTAAGATCATTATGACTCACGACCTTCTTCCCTCTCTGACCACCTAAGGCCTCAACAATATCACCAGTCAAATAGCTACCTACATTTACGCTCCCCTTTCCCTTAATATAAGTGTCATACCCCTCAGTAGGAGTTTTCAGACTTTTACCAAGGGTTTCAATGTTCAATTCGATTTTTACTCCATTAACGACACTTGAAATTATCCCTAATTTTGCTTGAAAATTTTGGCAAAATTCAGTCATAGCTAAAGGGTACATATAATTTGCTGACACTCTTGACAACAGAAATTCCCAACCTTGAAACTTAATTAAATCAAGAAATTCGAGAAATCTTGTTTTTCTACACCAAACAACATCAATGCGATGACCAACTACATACCTTCCAGCCTGTGACTCAAGTTCCGCTTGATCAGTCACTTCCTCTTCTTCATCTTCCTTTTCAGATTCTTCCTTTTCTGAATTGTTCTCCTCCTCTTTATCTTCTTCTTCTCCCTCACTCATCTCTTCTTCTACTTTTTTCTCCTCTGTTGTCTCGTTTGGGTTTTTCCCTTGAGCAAACTCGTCAACTTCCTCAATTTTCTCTTCAAGAGATTTTTCACTTTGTTTCTTTTCTTTCCACTCTGTTAGTCGTTGAAGAATGCTTGAGACAGAGGAATCTCCTTGATCACTTTAACTTTCAACTTCTTTTGGTTTCGGAGGAGATTTCCTAGGGTTTTCGGGAGTTTTGTTTGACATAGAAGATGATTTGTAGTTTACCATGGCTAAGGGAGAAGTTTCTTCTTGAATTGTGTTTTCAGAGTGTTGTGATTCTTCCGAGGAAATAAATTTAGCAATGATCACCATTGATGCTTTAGGTAAGGTTTTTATGCAAGGTTGAAAAAGTTTTTACTGGGAAGGGTTTAATTTGATTTGACAGTGAGGTGAAAGAAGTGGGTGAAATCAGCTTTTATAATAAATGAAGTGGTGTGAGGGAATTTAGGAAGTTTCACTGTTCAGTCATTAATTGAACAATTTCAATTAATTTTTCAAATCAAATTACTGGATGATTCTTTCAAAAACTTAACTTTCCAAATTCAATTTATCTTAAATGAAGTTTCTATAAAACACAATTGGAACACGCTTTTTACATATGTGCAATGTACAAATTTAATAACCTATACCGTTGAGCAAGTTAATGAACTTACCTTTGGTAGTTAACAACGGTGACACTTTAGCTATGTTTATCACACCAAGGTTGTGGTAGAAGCTCTTTTTGCTTTATTTACATTATTTTTTACTTTGCCATATCTTGAAACTTCAGAGGCTAGTACTTCAGCTTGATCATCCCAAGTTCCAGTCTCAATTTCTCAAATCTTTCTCTGTTCAAGGGCTTGGTTAGAATATCTGCAATTTGATTTTCAGTTTGAAAAAATCCCAACTTTATATTCCCTTGCTCCACATTATCTTTTAGAAAGTGATGCCTAATGTGGATGTGTTTTACCTTTGAGTGTTGAACTGGATCCTTAGAAATACGTATAGCACTAGTATTATCACAGTAAATAGGTACACATTCAAAAATAATTCCAAAATCTCTGACCTGTTGTTTTATCCATAGAACTTGTGAGCAACATGCTGCCGCTGCCACATATTCAGCTTCTGCAGTAGATAAAGCAACTGTGTTTTGCTTCTTGGAACCCCAAGAAACTAAAGAAGGACCTAAAAATTGTACCATACCTGAAGTGCTTTTTCTATTATTCAAATCACCTGCATAGACAACATTAGTAAAACTATTTAAATCAAAAGAATCACTTCTGGGATAGAAGAGACTTAAATCATCAGTTCCTTTCAAGTATATTAGAATTCTTTTTACTGTTGTCAGGTGAGACTCCTTTGGATTTGCTTGGAACCTGGCACACAGACCTACACTAAAAGATATGTCAGGTGTGCTAGCTGTTAAGTAGAGTAGTGAGCCTATCATACCTCGATACATAGATTGATCAATGCAAGTTCCAGATGGATCTTCATTTAATCTAGTGGCAATTCCCATAGGAGTATTATTGGTTTTGGCATTTTCCAACTTGTATTTCTTGATCAGTTCCTTAATATATTTTTGCTATGAATCATGATTCCCTCTTCAGTTTGCTTGATTTGCAAGCCAAGGAAGAAATTTAATTATCCAGTCATGCTCATTTCAAATTCTCCACTCATAAGGTCAGCAAAATACTTGCATAAAGATTCGTTAGTTGCACCAAATAAAATATCATCAACATAAATTAGTACAACTAAGATATCAGTTCCATTTGACTTTAAGAACAAAGTTTTATCAATTTTGCCACGTTTAAAACCATTTTCCAAAAGGAACTTAGATAATCTTTCATACCATGCTCTAGGAGCTTTCTTTAACCCATAAAGAGCTTTGTCAAGCTTATAGACATGGTTTGGGAACTTTGGATTTTCAAACTCAGGAGGTTGTTCCACATAGACTTCCTCATTTAAATATCCATTTAAGAAAGCACATTTAACATCCATCTGGTACAGCCTAAATCCCATATAAGTAGCAAAGGCAATGAGTAAACGAATAGCCTCTAACCTGGCTACTGGAGCAAATGTCTCTTCATAGTCTATTCCTTCCTGCTGGTTGAAACCTTGTACAACTAGTCTTGCTTTGTTCCTGACAATAATACCATGTTCATCTAGTTTGTTTCTGAATACCCATTTTAGTCCAATGGACTTCTTATCTTTTGGTCTAGGTTCCAGATGCCAAACTTTATTTCTTTCAAATTCATTTAATTCAGCATGCATAGCATTAATCCAGTCAGCGTCAGTTAAAGCTTCAACATAATTCTTAGGTTCCATGGAGGAAAGGAATGCACTGAATGCACAGAAGTTCCTAAGCTGAGATCTGGTTTGAGTTCCTTTTGTGATATCACTCATGATTACATCAACTGTATGTGATTTCTGATATTTCCAGGGCCTTGGAGTGAAATCCTTGATTGGATACAATTTTTCTTCATCATTGTTGACTGGTTCTTCTGTAGGAACTTGTTCATGGAACTCAGTTTGAACTTCTTCAGGTGTTTCCACATTCTGGTCTTCATTATGAACATCAGTCTGTTCTTAAAGTGGAGTTCCTGGTGCATTCTGCATCTCAGGTTCAGGTGTTGCTTTAGGATTCGTTACTTCAGCAATTTCAACTTGCTGCTTCTGCTGTGATGCTGGTTCCTCATCTGGATTCTCTTTACGCACAAGTCCAATTTCGAAATCATCATTGATATACGTGTTTTATACAATGGTTTTCCCCGGTTTTACTTAGTAATTTTATATGGTTTTGAGCTCTACGGAGCCATTTCTTGCTAACAATCTCTTCTTTAGTGTATTCGATTGTTTTAGTAAGCTTTTCAGGAATATGAAGCGTTTCTAGGCAATTGGACGTGTTTTTAGTAGATTCGGAAGAGTTGATAGCCAAGAACTGCAATTTATGTGGAGTGCCCGACCGGGCATGGCTTGCCCGGGCAGACCGGGCAATGAAGAGTTCACAGGAAGAAGCCCAATTCTGAACGGTGCAACGCGCGCCCGATCGGGCAGGCTTCGCCCGGTCAGACCGGGCGATGAAGAAGTCAAGTTATGAAGATGCAATTCTGGAAACGTGTTACGCGCGCCCGACCGGGCGAGGTTCGCCCGGTCTGACCGGGCAAAGAAGGAAAACTGTCGTATTTTACGCAGCCTTCCTCCGCCCGATCGGGCGAGGTTTGCCCGGTCTGACCGGGCGATGTTCAAGATTGCGCGATTTCAGCTATTTCCGAATTTCTATCTTTTGAGGGTATAAATACCCTTTTGTAATTAACTTTTAAGGGGAGTTTTTCATTAGTTTTTCTCCTTAAGCCCTAGAAAACTCTCAAGAACCCTAGTTTTATTTCCTTTAAGCAATTTCAATCTTTTAATCCCAGATTAATCAATTGTTCATCAACAATTTGAGTTCTTTCAATTGGAGTAATTGGTATTTATCTTACTTCACTCTTTTCTGATATTCACTGTTCTCTAAATATGTTTTCTTTACTGTTTCTTGTTTTTGAACTTGATTTTGATTTTATTATGATGTGTGAGTAGTTTCCTTAATCCGGGATCTTGCTAAGCTCGATTATGATTGATGTATAAAGTAGATCTTTAAATTCCCCAATAATAATCCCAATTGACATGCTTAATTGATTGTGTTTATGCCAATACTAGATTAGGAATAATTAGTATTGTTATCATCCCTTTGTTCTTATTGCAACGGAAGTTGGGTATTAACGGGATTAGGTTATTCCAATTAAGGGTTTGAAGATCATCACGGAAGTAGATGATTGAATAATTAGGAATCTAGGCATGGTGTTTAATGTCCCTTGTTCGCTTGATTCCACGGAAGTAGGCTTGATAGTTAATTTGGGAAGCCATTGATAACTTGGAAGAGACCTTTGGTATTATTATTAGGGATTGCTTTTCTTCTTGTCAATTGATTTATATATTGGGGGTAGATTTATTAGTTTATCAATCATAATCGTGGTAATGCTTGATCTTGGATGCTTTAGTTTATTGATTAATATTTCCTCTAGTTAATTGTGTTATTTAATATATTAGTTGATTATTATCATCCATTATTGATTGGTGACGTGCTTAGTGATTAATTGAGTCTGATTAATTGAATGAACCATAGTCTCTTGGGATTCGATCCTTACTTGCCCTACTACACAGTTAGAAGGAATAGTTAGGTTATTTTTGTTAGGTACGCGATAAGCCTATCAAATTTTGGCGCCGTTGCCGGGGACTAACGGTTTCATATTGATTTTCCGTGATTCGTTTTTACTAAGCGTTGTTTGTTGCTTCGGCTATTGCCTCCTGTGTTTTTGATGTTCTTTGCCTAGTTCTTTGTTGTATGCAAACACGTCGCTCAGGGTCAGACGACTTAGTGCCTCTCGATTCAGAAATTGAAGCGACTGCAAGAAGACGAAGAAGTAGAAGAAGAGCAGGTAACAGAAATATGGAAGACCAAGCAACAAAGTCTCTTTTGGAGTACGGTATCCCTGACACAACAACCGGACTCCTTTCTAGCATTGTTAGACCACCTATCACCGCTCAGAATTTTGAATTGAAACCGCAGTTTATTCAATTCATATCCAATGATTCATTTGCTGGCACACCTCTTGATTGCCCAGTGAATCATATAGATGGTTTCTTGGAAAAGTGTGACACTATGAAGCTGAATGGTGTTACAGATGATGCTCTTAGACTTCGCCTTTTTCCATTCTCATTACGGGATAGGGCGAAGGAATGGTTAAGAGATGAGGGTTCTGGTTCCTTTGATACATGGGATAAACTAGTAAAAGCTTTTCTGGTCAAGTTCTTGGGACAAGAAAAGACTGCAAGATTAAGGAACGAGCTATCCACTTTCAGGCAATCAGATGAAGAATCCTTATATGACGCATGGAGGAGATTCAAGAGATTACAGAGACAGTGCCCTCATCATGGCATACCTGAATGGATGTTAATCCAAACCTTTTATAACGGTCTAACCCATGAATTCCGGATCTATATCGACGCCGCATCTGGAGGCTCCCTTTTAACTAAAAATCCAACCGAAGCAAAGGAGCTGGTTGAGAAGATGTCAGCCAATGACAACTATCACCCAGGCGGCCGAAATAGTGTCAAGAAAGGAGGTAAATTAGATGTTGATGCTCTAACTCTTTTAACTAGTTCTGTGCAGGCACTTTCAAGCAAGTTCGATAGATTACAAACTGGATCTTCTAATAATGTGCTAGAAACTTGTCAAATGTGTAATACTCAAGGTCACATCGCACCTAATTGCCCACGAAATTCGAATGAGGTATCAATTGAGGAAGCCAATGCCTTCTACAATTCCAACCCTAAAAGACCATACGATCCCCATTCTAATACTTATAATGAAGGTTGGAAGAATCACCCAAATTTCTCATACAAAAACACCCAGGCCCAGCAAAATCCACCTCCGCCCCCACCTCGAAACAACAATTATAATCCACCTGGTTTTCAACCAAGACCACCCCTAGTACAACAACCCATGCAACCTATGCAACCACTCCCTCAAAAATCCAATCTCGAACTAATGATGGAGAACTTCATCAACACCACAAATAATTCCATCCAACAGTTACAAGCCCAGAATAAGCTCATGGAAAATCAAATAAGCCAACTTGCTCATCAAGTCGGCCAATCTTCAAAAACACCAGGTACGTTTCCTGGCCAAACAGAGCAACCACAAAAGGGGCACATGAATGCTGTAATTTTAAGGAGTGGAAAACAGTTGGAAGACCTTCCCGTAAGGGAACCATCAACGATAGATATTGAGGGAATGAGTGAAAAACAGGGGATTTTGCAAAATTCTTCTTCGCCCGGTCAGACCGGGCAATGTCCGCCCGATCGGGCGCGAGAAGCAGTCGACGAAAAACAGGGGACTGTGCGAATTTCTTCTTCGCCCGGTCAGACCGGGCAAGGTCCGCCCGATCGGGCGCAAGAAGAAATTCCAGACAAACAGAAGAACATAAGCAGCTCTTCTTCGCCCGGTCAGACCGGGCAATCACTGCCCGACCGGGCGGGAGATCCAGACAGCCTAATTCCAAGGAATGATGTTCAAGAAAAGCCACGGGAACCGATCCCACCTCTCGCCCCATACATGCCAAGAGTCCCTTTCCCACAGAGGTTAGCCCAGGCTAAGTTAGAGAAAAAGTACGGTAAATTTCTAGACATCCTTAAGAAACTTCACATTAATATACCGTTCTTGGATGCAATTTCTGAAATGCCTTCTTATGCAAAGTTTTTGAAAGACATGCTATCTAACAAGAAGAAGCTTGCAGAGAATGCTACTGTTTCTCTAACTGCAGAATGTAGTGCCATTCTGCAAAACACTCTTCCTAAGAAACTAGGTGATCCAGGCAGCTATTCAATCCCAGTGAAGCTCGGAGATATAGAGATCAATAGAGCGCTATGCGATCTTGGTGCAAGTGTAAGCCTTATGCCGCTCTCCATCTGCGAAAAGCTTCAAATGGGTGAGCTAAAGCCTACAAGGATATCTCTGCAACTTGCAGACAGGTCAGTTAAATTTCCCCTCGGTATACTTGAAGATGTTCCATTGCGAGTTGGTAAATTCTTTATTCCATGTGATTTTGTTGTTATGGAAATGGAAGAAGATGCCCATGTCCCTATTATTCTTGGTAGACCATTCTTAGCTACTGCAGGTGCAATTATTGACATGAAGAATGGGAAAATAACATTTGAAGTAGGGGATGAGAAAATGGAGTATTCATTACTGAATGCTATGGGAAATCCGTCTATGGGTGAGACTATTTGTCAAGTGGATGTCCTCGATGATCTACAACAAGAACAACTTCCCCTGATCAAAAAGGAAGATGCTCTTGAAACGGTGTTGATAGGGAGTATCCATGATGAAGATTGGGAAGTAAGGGAGTACACGAGGCTACTAGAAGACGCAAAAGCTAATCCAATCATCGCTCCAGTCAAGGAAGTCCTTAGTACATCGAGTGTTGGGGAGAGTTCGACGCCTCCCGAGGTAGAGTTGAAACCCCTTCCATCTAATCTTAAATATGCATATCTTGGTCCTAAAAAAAAAAAAAAAAAAAAAAAAAAAAAAAAAAAAAAAGTCCAGTCTCCTTCGCCCGGTCAGACCGGGCAAAGAGCGCCCGATCGGGCGCGACGGAATCCTGCGGGCTTATATTAGGGATTTCAGCGTCTTCTTTTCTTCTCCGCTTCCTTTTGAGGAGCCGTCGAGATTCCTATGCTCTCCTTACGCTGCAATGAGGCCATTGCCGCATTTAGCTTGGGGGAGTTGCTTCGTACATGTGGTACTCTCTCTCTCCTTATCTCTCTTATCTTTCTTGTTTTATTTTAGTGTAGTTATTTTAGTTTTTTTTTTTTTTTTTAAAAAAAAAAAAAAAAAAAAAAAAAAACATACAAAAAATACGATCCAATGAATAATAAATCATGCTTCCCTGTGCCCCATTCATGAAAATTGTTTTAATTCTTGGTATATGATGACGAGTATTGTGGATAGGTTAGCCATGATTTGATGTTTGATTACTTGGATGTCTTAACATGAGTCAATTTTGCCCAACTACTTGTGAATATAGTGCTTGACTAGTTGATTTGGTTAGGAATGTGTGTTAGTTCCTGGTATGTCAATGAAGTTGAGTATTGGTTTATAACTTTGAGTAATGTTTGCATGACTCATTAATATGCACATTGAGGAGGACGAAGGCATTTGTTCCTCTAGGTGGCTTTCAGACGATATTAGATACATTTGTTCCCTTCTTGCTACCCATGTTGTTGCTTGTGCCCTTTTATTGTTTATTTTGCCACATTACAAGCCTATTTAAGCCCCATTGGTTACTAGTCCCAAGCTTGGCTTGGGGGAGCTAATAGTGAGTGAGGTGAGGGAGTTGTAGTGTGCATGTAATCTGCACAATTTTGGGTGGATTTGAGAAGTTTTTATTTGTTCTTATTGTTGTGGATTGAAAAAATTGAAAATTTATTGTGCAAAGAAAAAATTCCAATGTGAGATGAAAAAAAGGGAAAAGAAAGAGCAAAAGAAAAAAATTGTTTCAATGTTCAAGTGTTCTAATTGAAGGCTGCTCAAGAAAAAAAAAGAGAGTTCAAAGTTTGTTTGTTCACTCAAGTTCTATAATTTTATATTTTGTATATATGAGTGAAATTTTAAGTGTTGGAAATTTTTAATATAATTGGATGTTTGGTGAATTTTTGGTAGAGTTGAGTTGTGTTGGAGATGATTTGGTCATTAATTCATTTTGATCTTGGTTTTATTTATTAGGATTTTGGCTCCCTTAAGCATAGCTTTACTCTTACATTTTCCCAAATATTTCCTACCTTTTATCCTAGCCTTACATTACAAGCTTTGAAGACCTTCTGACCTTTGTGCATAGAGTTGTGTGAATGTGAAATTAGTTGTTTTCCAATGCAAAGAATGATTTGATATATTTCGAGTCGACTGCTAGGTTGAGTGCTTGTTTTCTTTAAACACACGAGTGCGTGAGTTTGGGAGGGCATTGTTCACATTTAAAGGAGTTGGATGGAGAGCGATCGAGTATATCTTTTACTCGCCACATAAATGAGAGTTGAGTGTGTGAACACTAGTCTTGAATTCTATATGCTCTTGTGGTTTGCTCTATTTGACTATTGTCAGACAGGATGAGTAGTCAGATGGATTTGATTGGTTGACTTTGATGCATAACTGTCGAGTTTACCTTTAATCGTATTTATTGATTTGAATTGCTTTTGGGGTGAAGTATTGATTTATTTATTCATTGCTTTGCTTAGGGACAAGCAAAGGTTTAGCTTGGGGGAATTTGATATACGTGTTTTATACAATGGTTTTCCCCGGTTTTACTTAGTAATTTTATATGGTTTTGAGCTCTACGGAGCCATTTCTTGCTAACAATCTCTTCTTTAGTGTATTCGATTGTTTTAGTAAGCTTTTCAGGAATATGAAGCGTTTCTAGGCAATTGGACGTGTTTTTAGTAGATTCGGAAGAGTTGATAGCCAAGAACTGCAATTTATGTGGAGTGCCCGACCGGGCATGGCTTGCCCGGGCAGACCGGGCAATGAAGAGTTCACAGGAAGAAGCCCAATTCTGAACGGTGCAACGCGCGCCCGATCGGGCAGGCTTCGCCCGGTCAGACCGGGCGATGAAGAAGTCAAGTTATGAAGATGCAATTCTGGAAACGTGTTACGCGCGCCCGACCGGGCGAGGTTCGCCCGGTCTGACCGGGCAAAGAAGGAAAACTGTCGTATTTTACGCAGCCTTCCTCCGCCCGATCGGGCGAGGTTTGCCCGGTCTGACCGGGCGATGTTCAAGATTGCGCGATTTCAGCTATTTCCGAATTTCTATCTTTTGAGGGTATAAATACCCTTTTGTAATTAACTTTTAAGGGGAGTTTTTCATTAGTTTTTCTCCTTAAGCCCTAGAAAACTCTCAAGAACCCTAGTTTTATTTCCTTTAAGCAATTTCAATCTTTTAATCCCAGATTAATCAATTGTTCATCAACAATTTGAGTTCTTTCAATTGGAGTAATTGGTATTTATCTTACTTCACTCTTTTCTGATATTCACTGTTCTCTAAATATGTTTTCTTTACTGTTTCTTGTTTTTGAACTTGATTTTGATTTTATTATGATGTGTGAGTAGTTTCCTTAATCCGGGATCTTGCTAAGCTCGATTATGATTGATGTATAAAGTAGATCTTTAAATTCCCCAATAATAATCCCAATTGACATGCTTAATTGATTGTGTTTATGCCAATACTAGATTAGGAATAATTAGTATTGTTATCATCCCTTTGTTCTTATTGCAACGGAAGTTGGGTATTAACGGGATTAGGTTATTCCAATTAAGGGTTTGAAGATCATCACGGAAGTAGATGATTGAATAATTAGGAATCTAGGCATGGTGTTTAATGTCCCTTGTTCGCTTGATTCCACGGAAGTAGGCTTGATAGTTAATTTGGGAAGCCATTGATAACTTGGAAGAGACCTTTGGTATTATTATTAGGGATTGCTTTTCTTCTTGTCAATTGATTTATATATTGGGGGTAGATTTATTAGTTTATCAATCATAATCGTGGTAATGCTTGATCTTGGATGCTTTAGTTTATTGATTAATATTTCCTCTAGTTAATTGTGTTATTTAATATATTAGTTGATTATTATCATCCATTATTGATTGGTGACGTGCTTAGTGATTAATTGAGTCTGATTAATTGAATGAACCATAGTCTCTTGGGATTCGATCCTTACTTGCCCTACTACACAGTTAGAAGGAATAGTTAGGTTATTTTTGTTAGGTACGCGATAAGCCTATCAATCATCACAATCCTGTACATCAACCAAATGTTTAGTTTCATCAAATATAATATGTACAGACTCCTCAACACACATAGTCCTTTTATTATAGACTTTGTAAGCTTTACTATTCGAGGCATATCCTAGGAATACTGCCTCATCACTACGTTCATCAAATTTACCCAAGTTCCTTTTACCATTATTGTGAACAAAACATTTGCATCCAAAAGATCTAAAGTAGGAAATGTTAGGCTTTCTCCCTTTCATAAGTTCATAGGGAGTTTTATTGGTGATGGCCCTAACAGATACTCTGTTAAGTATATAACATGCTGTGTTTACTGCTTCAGCCCAGAAATTCCTAGGCAGCCAGCTTGATATCAGCATTGTCCTTGCCATGTCTTCAAGGCTCCTATTCTTGCGTTCCACCACTCCATTTTGTTGTGGAGTTCTTGGGGCAGAGAAGTTGTGATCCATACCAAACTCAGTACATAATTCATCAAATTTCGAATTCTCGAATTCTATTCCATGATCTGATCTAAGATGTATCAATTGATTGCCTGTTCTTCTCTGTTCTTTCTTTACAAAAGCAACAAACTCATCAAACGTTTCATCCTTACTTACAAGAAAGAAAACCCAAGTGAACCTTGAAAAATCATCAACAATAACCATTACATATTTCTTACCACTTGTACTTTGGATTCTCATTGGACCACAGAGATCCATATGAATGAGTTCCAAAGGTCTTTTGGTACTTACCATCTTTTTGGACTTGAAGGAAATTCGGGTCTGTTTTCCTTTAGCACAAGCTTCACACACTTTGTCATACAGGAACTTAATGCAAGGAAGTCCTTCCACTAAGTTCTTAGATCTTATTTTATCAAGTAAAGAAAAGCTTGCATGGCCAAACCTTTTGTGCTATAAAAGAGGATCATCCTCAATAACACTAAGACATGTTAAACTGCTGTTAGGAACCTCATTAAGATCCACAATATATGTGTTACCTTTACGAGTTCTTTCCAAAATAATATTCCCAGTGTCATTGTGGGTGATTCTACACTTATTAGAAGTAAAGCTAACAGAATTACCTTTGTCACAAAACTGTGAAATACTTAACAAATTGTGTTTGAGGCCCTCGACTAAAAATACATTATCAATGGCATGGGAACGTGACCTTCCTATCTTTCCAATAGCAATTATATCACCTTTCATATTATCACCAAAGGTCACTGTTCCACCATAGTAGGCATCCAGTGAGAGAAATCTAGATTTATCTCTAGTCATGTGCTTAGAACAACCACTGTCGAGGTACCAAGTGTTGTTCCCCCTCACTGGAACCTGCAAGAAGAATTAAACGTTAGAGTCAGGAACCCAGGTTTCCTTGGGTTCCTGTGTAACAAGAGTTGATTCATTTTTCTTGATCCAGAT